CTTTCCTGGCTGTTTGAAGGAAGGAATTGCCATGTGCCTCCACCTGCAGCAAGGGATGTATTTTGAAGTAACTTAATTGCATGTTGGCCAAGCAAAATCTGTCACAGTAGGCCCGTATGAATGTTGTAGTATGGAAATTAGTCATGTGAAATAATAAGTAGATGAGCAGAAAATACTACTGGGATGGAATGTAGAACTATCCGTAAAGAGGATAATAAAATGGAAAAGAATCTCACATCAAAGTAGTGCCTGAATCCTGTTGGACTTGTTGATCCTGGCTTAATTTGTTGCAGGTTTCCTGAGACGTGCATGTGTGGTATGTTCAGTGATAGTTAGGCACTTGAGAAAATTGACCCCAGTCTGTCATCTGTGGACTCTCAATGGAGCGTGGGATTAGTTTGTAATAGAGGCAAACCTGACTCTTGTTACCGAAACAAACTGTTAATGTCACCCACACTAGGAGGAAAATGTAATGTTAAAGACTTGAAATTTTGGCAGAAGAATTTAGTCAAAGTGTTGTTACTACAACCTGTTATATTTTTGTCTCAGATACATTAGTAGGTTTAAATCATTACAGTAAACCAAACACCCAGTGCAAACATATTTGAATTTTTCATAGTATGTTTCTTACCACAGTTGAGTGTTTCTGACTAAGCCTTTCATTAAACCTCTCTTTTAAGCAGAGTAATTTCAGAATTACACTGCTCCTTTTCCATCCTAATCTGCATTTAACCTGTGGAGAAGGACTCATATCAGTATAAAATTGCTAGAGAAATTAATAGGCTTCTGTCTAATTCAGGAAGAATTGTTTCACTGACAGGGTGGTTAAGCGCTGGAATGGGCTGCCCAGGGAGGTGGTGGAGCATCAATCCTCGTGAGTGTTCAAGGAACAGCTGGACGTGCACTTAGTGCATGTTGGCAAGGTGGTGCTGGGTCAAAGGTTGGACGTGATGATCCTGAAGGTCTTTTCCAATCCTTACGATTCTAATACTGGTGATATCAGACAGAGTTAGCTTTAGCACAGGCTGTCCAGAGAAGAGCAATGAGGATGGAGAAGGGACTCGAGCACAAGTGGCATGAGGAGAGGCTGAGGGAGCTGGGGGTGTTCAGCCTGGAGAAGGGGAGGCTCAGGGGAGACCTTATCACCCTCTACAACTCCCTGACAGGAGGTTGGAGTCAGGTGGGGGTTGGTCTCTTCTCCCAGACAACCAGCAGGAGGACAAGAGGGCACAGACTCAAGCTCTGCCAGGGGAGGGTTAGGTTGGATATTAGGAAGAGATTTTTTACAGAGAGAGTGATCAGCCATTGGAATGTGCTGCCCAGGGGGGTGGTGGCTTCACCATCCCTGGAGGTTTTCAAGCTGAGACTGGATGTGGCACTTAGTGACATGGTCTAGTAACCACAGTAGGGTTGGACTTGATGGTCTTGAAGGTCTTTTCCAGCCTGGTTGATTCTGTGATTCTGTGAAGTGATGAAAGGTGCTCCTGTGATGTGCCTGCCCCCCCTTGCCTCCCCTCATACACCCAGCCAGTATATTGCAGTAAGGCTGCAGCTCTTCAGGCTGAAACTGAGAGTTGCCTTTCCTCTACATAAATAATTTCCCCAGGATGAAGTCATTGAAATAATTTTCTCCCACCTCTTTGCTTGATGAAGCCTCAAGCATTGCCTTTTTTTGTAATGCTGCAAAAAGGAATCTGAATGACAAGTTGTCTAGTCTTGATGTGATTTGCATAGCTGATGTGGGTCTCTAATGACTTATTAGATAATTAGTCAAAAATAGTTCATGAAATTCATGACGATATTCAACGAAGCAAAATGCTTTTGCTGATGAAGTGGTTGAAGTGGGTTTGCTTCCTAGCGTGCTAGAATGATGTAGTTAATTAAAATAAGTGCACACTTCATTCTTTTATATTGTGCTCAGTTCATCTTTCTTCCTCGTGTTTATTTCTGGGCATCAAAGAACACCTTTTATCTGTTTGATATTTTGGTAGCAGAACCAGTTCACTGTGGTGCTGTCGTATAAATTCATTTGCTTTAGTCTGATAGCAAAAGCGGCTGTAAAAGTACAGGCTAGTAAAGATACACTGTGTTACTAGGAATAACAAGCTTTGGATTAGTAGATTTGTAAATTAGCTGATTATCAGATTTTTGGGGTGTATCTAAGGCAGGTATTACCATTAATTCTTATGAACTTAATATGAGTGTTTTAATAGCAGCTGCTAAAAATTATTCTAAGAATTATTAGGAGGTACAACATAGGCAATTATCCCAACCCTGAAGGGATTAAAAACATGACCTTTACAGAGCTGATGTCGGTGTTTTAGTTGCATGTAACATCAGATATATAATTTGGTATGGTAGGTTTTGGGGGGTTGGTTTATAATCTCATAAACCTGCTATGAGACAGAAACCCACCTCTCTGTGCTCTAGCATGTGCTCCCTTTAGAGCATGAAAGCTTGCACAGAAATTGAGTCACAGGTTGCAGCTTTCTTTGAAAAAGATAAGGTAAAAAATGAGTTGGGAAATGAAACGTAAGGAAAATACATAGTGTAGTGGTGAATTATCAGTCATTTTTTCCCTATTGCTTGTTGTGTTGAAGAACTGACTTGTTTGGAATGTAAAATAGGTGGAAGGATGCAGATGTAATATCTCACTGCCTTGATTAGGTGTTCAAATAGTGTGGAGAAGATCAATCTAATGTCATTTTGCTATAAAATATTAGAACTACTGTAGGAAAGGATGTTAGCATAATTCCTGGGTTTTTTTTATTCCCCAGAATCTTGGCTTTAAATCTATGCTCTAGATGTAAATGATGATATTCTCCAAGGGATTATTTTGTCACATTTGCAAGACTTTCACATTTATCTGTTAAAAATGTGTATTTAAGCATAGCCTGCCTTGTTTAAAAATGGAATATGCTCTGAAGTTTCAAACTGAGCAATGAAAGGGCAGTGTTGTGCAAGTTCAACAAACACGTTCCACTTAAGTTTTGGAGAGCTGTGTTTTGCTGGGTGATTGCAGCTGAAGCACTTCTGGTATTTATGTGATGTTGTTCTTTCACGGAAGGAAACCCACGTGCAGTCCAAGTGAAAATACAACTTGAATGTTGTGTAGGAATCCTTACAGCATACGCTTTGTTTGTATCAAAATTAGGCTGTGCTCCACCTACTATTAATAGACTTTGCTTTCAGAACAAACTGGCACTATCATCCCTACCTTTTTATCAGAAAAAAATCCTTGCTCACTAGTTGTTTGCAGAGCTTCTTCAAACCTTCCATTCTGAAGTTCTACTGCTGTAAATGTAGTTTGGCTTGTCATCAGTGGTACTTTGCTGATGCATCTTAAGTACAAACCGCGCTGCTCTTATCTCTCTGCACAGCCATCCAGTCTGCTTTTCCTTCTCTGTTGCCATTGTCCCAGGGGACTGCTGCATTTTTGGTGGGCCAAAATTCACCTTTCATTTTTCACACCTATCATTCCATGTATTGTGCCACTGCACACTCAGCATGTTTGCACAGCCATTGGTAGGATGTGGTCTGAGAGACTGGGAAGAACCATCATAAGAAAAGACTTTGAAGGCTCATTTCTGTTTTCATGTGGATGGAGTTCAGGGATTCAAAGTGATCATTGGCAATTAAACTCCTTGCCTTAATTTATTTTCTCCCACACCCGCAAAGCTCAGCTGAAACGCAGCGAGTACAGTAACTGAAGATAACTGAACTCTCTTATCAATACAACATGCTGTTACTAAACAGGTTCCTTGGAGCATAGGACAGAATAAACCATTTAAAGACAGTTAGGTTGGAATTAAGGAGTGAAATAGTTTATTTGGATGGGCTTGTTGAGTGCTGCTGGAGCAGTGTGCTAAAGATGCCGTTTCTGGGTACCCAGCGCTGTTCCATGATGTAAACCAAACTCTGGAGTGATGTTAAGCATGGAACTTCTAGCTGAAGCTTTGCCTGAACAGTATCTCTAGGCCTGTGCATGGCAAGAGAAGAGATGTGACCTGGGTAAAACTTTTAAGTGATCTGAAGTTATCTTCTTTTGTTCTCCCACCCTCCTTTTTGTTTTCCCTTCCCCTCTCTCTTCCCTTTCATGCTTCACACTAAAATCCAACTCCCATGTAATAAGACTCAAAAAGCCATCCAGGAAAGATCAGTTAAATTTGGGGTTGAGCATAGCTCTTTTGGGAGGATGAGGAACTCCGTGGAGTTGTTGTCAGGAGGGGAAGTACAGAATGTGATGAGATCTCAAGCCTTTGAGTTCAGAAAGGGCATCATCAACTAGGCGGTGTGTTGCCTAATATTAATTTTCTTTTTGTTTAGTTTGCAAATGCATCTTCCAAGTCTTGGATTACTCCATTCAGATAAGAGAGATTCCTGAAAACGAGTTGGGTCTCATTCTAATCCACTCAGGTAGCCTCTTCTGCAGCCTGGGATAATATCCCATGACTAAGATAGCACAGCCACACTGAGTCTTTTCTTTTTGAATCCCTTGCTACGCCCTGGTGACACACAGAGCAGAAGTTCTGGCAGAGCAGTCCTTCAGCAGCAATTTAAGTAAAAGTGCTGCGAGATGGAAAAAGGGCTTCAGCAAGGTAATTGGGCAGAGGTGTGTGTTTACAGCCACGCTATGGCCAGTCAGTTTGCCTGTACAGGTAATTGGCAGTTCTCTCGGAGAAAATTACAAATTTGTTCGCTGCTCCACCTCTGCAGCCGTTTGTCTTGTTTTGTAAAGGGCAATTCGTTTACTACTGAATGACAAGTGAAAATTAGGATTACACAGCCGCTGTGTGTTTCTGAAAGCTCTGGGTCTAAAGTTAATTGAGGCTGAGTGACACGAGAGGCAGTTTGGGGGGATGTGTTTTGGCTTCGTTTGGAAAAGTAGATCTGTAGGAGAGGCAAAAACCTGCTAGTAAATGCTGTGGCCAAAGTCAGTCAGGAGTCACTGAAATTCACCTATCTTGTGTGACCTGCAAGTTGTATATAGAATAGACATGAGATAGAAATTATGCAACTGTGAATTGTATTAAAATTTACAGTGGAATATGGAGTTTACATTATTTTCTGCTTCTAACGTTCACAGTATATTCCAGGAAGCAGACAGAGAGCCTTTGCAGTCACTGGGGCACGAGGGTGGAGTTCCCAGTGTGAAGCTGCGATAAGGAAGATTAGTCACTGGATGTGAAAGAGATAAGGGTTGAGGAGGTGATGTTATCCCTGTATAAAATAATCCACTAGTGATTTCAGTCATGTTCAGTGTTTCGAGCTTGTCTTGTAAATAAACTCCTGAATAAGAAGTTTCCAGGAATGACTGATCGCTTCTGTGTGGGAAAACGTGCATTGGGAGAAGCAGGGCTTAACAGAAGTTAAGAGTGTTAAGAAGTTTCTCTTAACTGTCAGTTCTCATTTCCAAGAAAAATTTGCTTCATATTCGTGGGTTTTCTTCCCCTGAATTCCCAACATAAAAAGTAGAACACAATTGAGAAAGGTAGGGAAAAAATTGCACGGACTGAAAAATCATATTCGTATACAAAAGGGCAATTGCACATGTGTTAAGACATTGAAAGTTTAAATAGACTTTTTTTTCAGTGTAGGTTATTGATCCTAGATGGTTAGGTGCAATAATGTTGCTTATGAGAGAGTTATTTCCAAGCATTGTAATAATTCCTGGTAGAAGTATAAGGGATTCTTGCTCAGGACATCAGGTGGGATCATTGTTACAGAGCTTAGGCCTTGGCTTAGGATGATTCTGAAGATGTTTCAGTGTCAGCTGCATTGCAAATGCTCCTAGTTATCATAAACATGTCTGTTGTGGAATTTGGGCATTAAAATTTATCGGTCTTAGTGTAGCTTCATAGTAATTTTCTCTTTTCACCTTTCCTTATTTTTATTTTAATTGCTTTGGCCTGATTTTGAGCAATATGGCTAAACTTTATTTGGCATTTGAGTAATTACTTATAAAAGGAAATTACTAGGACTTTGGAATTGTGTAATTGCTTCTTTTTTATGCTTACATAATTATAGATTTTGTAAATTAACTTCTGCCTTATAAATATACTTCTAATAGGAGATCTTAAATGTGTTTCAGGGGCTTGTTTTCTTTGCTAGTTCTTAGGCTGAAATACCACCATTTAGAGGTAGTCTTAACCTTAGAGCTGAACAAGTGTTTAAATACGGTGTTAGACAGTGTCCTGTACACTTGATTTTCAAGAGTATTTGTGCTTATTATAAGTGTGAGTTTTTCAATGTCATGTACTGTTAGTGACTTTGTGGAAATGCTCATTGACATTGACACCAAAGCCTCCAAAAACCTTTGGTGTAGTATGATAGGTAGTTAAACAGAGTTGTTGAAGTCCACCTTCCTTACTCATTGCAAGTAAAGTCTAATTCTTCACCTGAGAATATTTTTCTTCCTTTTCAGAGCTACAAAATTCCACTAAAGTTATTAAAGCAGCAAAACCCAGGACAAGGAAATGCAGCAAGGTTTGTATTTCTGGCTCTAAATATTAATTATGTCAAATAGCTGATACTGTCATAATAAAAAGATAGCAAGGTATTTTGAAGTTACAACCATAAATGTTACATTCTGCCTTGGTAGTAGTCAATTTTGAAGATAGGGACAAATAAGGAAGGGAAGTGGAAAGTTGATGTTACATTCTGCCTTGGTAATAGTCAATTTTGAAGATAGAGACAAATAAGGAAGGGAAGTGGAAAGTTAAGAGGGATGCTAAAGTGATGTATATACGAGGGGTAAGGAAAAGCACTTTTGTTTAACAAAGCAGTGGGGTTATATAAAAATGTGAAGGGCCTGCAAAGAAACAACATCACTTGAGCACAAGTGATGCTAGATTGGTTTTGGAAATCCTTTTTCATAGTGCATGATGAGTGTCTTTTATGTGCATAAAATTATCATTACACCAGCAGGAGACACTGAATCTTTTTATTGATAAATCAAGTGTCTAAAGTTTGGTACGGCCACCCCTTTTTCAGGTTGGTTAATAGCTTGTCCTTCAAAACCTGAAAGCCTTAAGCAGTAGATACTTTAAATCACATAGGAAGTTCTGTGTGAGACATTGAATCTGACAGTTGTTTTCTGTGTGCTCAGAAGTCACGAGGTCTCGTGCGAAACTTGTGTGTTTGTTTTCTCTTGCATTTCTCGGCTTTTAAAAATTGCTACTTCTAAGAATTCTGCTCCAAGGGGTAATGAGTCATGACTGACATCTTCCATGTGTTGAAAAGGACGAAATCAAGGAAGTAAAAACTGTTTGTCATCTTTGCAGGCTGAGGATTTTGGTGATATTGCAAACTGGCCAACACCAAGCGAAATAGCAAACAATGAAGTAAGTGTCATTTGTTACCTTCACTGTTATTTTTTTTAAACCATATTGATTTCCCTGCTTAATGCTATTTCCCCAGAGTTTGCTTTGGGTGTTGTAGGATTTCAGCAGAGATGTTGTCAATAATTCAGGGTACTGGCATGTGCTATGCTGTATCTGCACTGGTACAGGAACTAGTGAACTCTGAACCCTCACAAGCTCAGGGGAGACCTTATCACCCTCTACAACTCCCTGACAGGAGGTTGGAGTCAGGTCTCTTGTCCCAGGCAACCAGCAGGAGGACAAGAGGGCACAGACTCAAGCTCTCCCAGGGGATGGTTAGGTTGGATATTAGGAAGAGATTTTTTACAGAGAGAGTGATCAGGCATTGGAATGTGCTGCCCAGGGAGGTGGTGGATTCACCATCCCTGGAGGTTTTCAAGCTGAGACTGGATGTGGCACTTAGTGCCATGGTCTAGTAACCACGGTAGGGTTGGACTTGATCTTGGAGGCTGTTTCCAACCCGGTCCATCCTATGATTCTGTGATTCTAAGCTCACACACACTCCATTTATTGTTAGGGACACGTAGGTAAAATGTGCCATGCTTACTCCATTGTTTAAAAACTTGTGTTTCCCTTTTCTACTGGTTGGGAAGTTTATGACAGATGAGGCAGCCTTTGGGTTTGTGTCCTTGCTGCTCTCCCTTGTGGCTCAGAATGGTTTGGGCAGGTTTTCTTAGGACAACTTAGTTATCCTTGGCCGACTCCTCTGATACATTTTCTCATTACTGGATTTTCAGTTAACATCTGTTCTGTCAAATTATCTTCCTTTCACTTTATCTCAAGTGCTAAGCGCATAATGTATTTTAGACCTCTTTAAAACAAGAAGAGAGCACAGATTATTGCGAGTGATGAGATGCCATTTCACTGTGTGTAGCTCTGCAGCAGCAACCCTGGGATGCTTTTTCCGTTTCCTTGGTGAGAGAAACCAGGAGGTTTGGGTTCTACAGTGTGCATTTTATAACTGAAAGTGTCCAAGTTCATGTAGTGTCTGTAAAACGACATGACGTTTAGTTTGTATTTAAACTCAGTGGATTTGTCTAGGGGAAGGCTTTGTGTTCCAGTTAATTACAGCACAGTACTGCAGCAGCTGCTGTATGTGCTGCAGCAGGTTCAAAGCTGTTTCCACAGCACAGGAGAATTCTTTCTCTTTGGCAGAAATATCTGCAGAGCTTCGTTTTGCAGGTGGATATTCTATCCAGTCATAGAATGGTGAGTTGGAAAGGACCTTTAAGGTCTTTTAGTCCAACCCTCCTGCCATGGACAGGGACAGGGACACTTTCCACTAGCCCGAGTGGCTCAGGGCCCCATCCAACCTGGCCTTGAATGTTTCGCAGGATGGGGCATCCACCACCCCTCTGAGCAACCTGTGCCACTGTTTTACCAACCTCGTCATGATAACTAAACTTTCCACTCTTTGCTAAAATGCTGTTCATTTTGCATTCCTTGGAACCTGCTATTCTGTGGGATCTCCAGGAAGTGATGATCTGCAGGATGTTGGCACTACTCAAAGCCACACAGTTCCCAGTAAATGCCACATTCTAATGTGGGGAAAAAATAAATCTGTAATCATACACCTCCACATCCTCTGATCTTTGGTTCCTGTTCTGTTTTAGTGGAACAAAATTGTCAGAGTTAAGACCTAATGACTCCTTATAGTTTGCATGAACATTTGGCATGCTGTTGGGATTGTACAGCATTATGGGCATTTCTGATTTGCCTTTCATTATTCTGTGAGCACAGCTTTCTAAAGATAATCAGGCTGAACAGTAGGTACTGCTGAGAATATTTAGTTCTTTCCTATAAAATGAATTTTCATGTCTGAGGGACTGAAACTTGATTGTTGTGCTCTCTGTAATTTTACATCTTCTGTTAAAACCCAAAAACTTTCTGAAGTCTAAAAACTCTTTTTAAAATAGTCTTGCCAGGTTAGCAGGAAATAAAACTGTTTAAAATGAGACTTTACAGGACAACACAGTTCTTAGAACTCTCCCTGCTGAAGAGGCTGGGAACAGGTCGTAATGAAGGAATTTGAATAGCTGAAGGAAATGTGTATACCTTTGGCTATCAGCAGCTGTACTGTCAGAAGTAATTGCCTGTGTCTCTTGCAGTGTAAGAATGCAAGTCACAGTAAGAAGCCAACAAATAGAAGAGAAAAGGAGGAGAAATCTGATCAGAAAAGCAATAATGGAATCAAGGACAATCCGGAGGCCAAGCCAGATGGTCTGGCAGATAACACTAGCGAAGATGAAGCTCAAACTAACAACCAAAGGAAAAAAGGTCAGTCTGGGAACTGTGTATAATGCAATAAGTCACTGTTGATATAGTTGCATTCATTCCAGTTGAATGACTTGATGAAACTTTTCATGTTTTGCATTTTCTGGGTGATAACAGGGTATATTGCTTTTTGCTAGGAAGCTGAGACCTTCCTCTCTCAGGTCCTAGAGTGTTCTCTTTAGTCAAATAGGAATTCTGGGGGAGAAGCAGCTCCTCTCCTACTGATGTTCTGTGGAGCTCTATCAGTTTCTGGGAGATTTTAGCATGGCTGTTAATTTAAGCTAATATTTATCTGTGTGTGTGTTACTGTATAGACTAACACTTTGGTTTTCATGTTCTATTAACTTACACATTGAAGTGATCACTTGAAAACCAGGTTATTAATTTCCTTTATTTAACTGTTAGCTCTAAATTCTTGGTAATGGAGCTTACATCTGAAAATTCATTAAATAAGAAAGCTCATTTTGATTTCGTGTGTTTAAAGCTTAGGTTAAGTTGCCTTTCAGTTTGAGAAATTCCTGTTTAGTTAATTTATTATGTAGTCATCCATAATATCTTCAGATTTCAATGTTAAGCTTTTGGTTTTTAAACTCTGAAATTAAATGTTACTAGTTTCACAAGAATAATTCTATAGAGTCTTTTCAGGAGCTGAAACCTCAAGTATTAGTATGATTAACAGTAATATATTAACTTTTCAAGGTAACAAGCAGAAATGGGTGCCACTCCACTTGGACGATGTCAGGTCAGACAGTCAAGAAAGACCAGGCTCTCGAGCTAGCTCCAGATTTCTGCTGGAAACAAACAAGTTAATACCTCATAACAACAGAAGGAATGAGGCAAGAAGTAAGTAGTTCTCAATCTCTGAGTCTTTCCTGGTGGCAAATAAAGTACGTGAGCTGGGAGTTGAAACTTTGCCTATACTAAATAAAACTGACTTTATATTTGCCAATAACCAGCAGCATATATTTTCTTCTTCATGGCTCCCTACGGAGACTTGTCCCACAGTTTTATGATGCAGAAAGTTGGAGAATAGCCTCAGAAGGTGTCTGCTCTGTCCTGCTCTGCTGCTGTTGCCACAGCTTGTCACTACCAGAGCAATTGCTTGTGGAGCTACACTTTGAACTCTGCTTTGGCAATTCTACTGATGTTGTTTTTTCCTTTAAGTTGGATCCATTCCCTCAGTTCCCTGACCTATTTCTCAGCATGGCCATGCAAAAAATTGTACTGGCATCACAGCTGGTGCTGCTTCTGGTCCTCAGGTGTTGTGAGTACAGATTGGCAGGTGGCAAAAATCCGAGGCAGAGTGTAACCCTTTGGCTCTTGTATTTGTGTTTAAGCTTTAAAATTGCAATGCACATTAAGTGTTTAAATCTTTGCACCTTGTAATAGGTACTGGATGTACTAGATGCTTTTGAGATGGTATTTGCTTATGAAGTGTTTAGGAACATCCATGTTCCTAAAATGTTCCCAGGGTTTGGTTTGGATGTCCGAGGGATGGACAGTGGGAGGACTTTTACCAGTTACCGCTTTGCTTACCAGTTTTTTCTCAGGATGGTCAATGATCAAACACTTGTAGCATGAACTCTGCCTCAAGGCTCTAGTGATTTAAGACCAGTTTCGGTGTGAGAGAATATAAAACTTCTCTTGCTCTTTTCAGGAACATTGAGTTTAAATAAAAATCTCATTTCAGGCTAGACACAACACTTGCTCATGAGGGTGTTATATATTATATGTAGGACTTTTGCATGTCTCTGAGTCCCAGGTATTCTCAGGGTGCCAAAATTAAACTGACTTGGGAAAATAGTTCAAGGAATACCTATGCATTTGGGATATCTGAGGAGTAGATAAGTGCTAAGGTCCAGAGTCCCAGTGAGACAGACACAGACAGATATGATCATAGAGATCTCATAGAGATTTGTCAATTCAGAGTTTTATTTGACAGAAAATAGGGGACTTGAATATATGAGCGTACGTGGTGTTGTAGGGTTCATTAAATATAGTCACTAGTAAAAAAAGTTTTTAATATGAACAAAGAGCTCTGTCTTTAGTCAGTCTTTTGTTCAATCTAGCAGCTCAATTTGATCAAGTAGGGGCTGTATCCCCAAGCACTACTCTGACAAAGTTGTCCCTTGGTATCTGGAAGACTATCCAATTAATAGCTTTAAGAAACTTAAGCAAAGGTGACTTCCATGAAGTCTCTGAGTGTGTTAGGAAAAGAGAAATGGTGTGAGAGAGGGTTTCATTTTCTCTCATGAGTGAAGACAGAGTTACACCTGTCCCTTAGTTCACCTGACCTCGAGGTCCCTGAGGTCTGGTTTGCACCTGCTTGTTTTCCTTTCTTCTGCTTCTCTCTTGCTCTCTTTTGCTATGTGCAGATCATATGTTTATATGAAAACCTGGCATAGAATCTTACAGATTTGTCTTAGCTTTGCATGTGTTACCAAAAAGGGCTCCTTAGCTCAAAGGCTCAGTTTGGGGCATGGCCAGCAGAGAATAGACAGGTCAGGGGCAGCTGCTTCTAGGAACAAAAACTCCCAAGGGTCACTGCTGTGGGAATCCCATCTCCAGCAGAATCATGAAGAAGTAGCTCCCAGTCCTTTTTAGTTGCTGGGAGTTGTCTGCAGGAGGAGACTGGAAGGAGAATTGCCTGATTATTCCTTCCTTGCCCCAAGCTGATCCATAGGTATTGTGACCCCTGAGCTGGCACCAGTGTACCCAGTTGCTTCAGAAGCATTCGAGGCTGATTGCCAGTCAAGCCCTTTCACTCTTTGTTACTGGAGACAGCTCCTGCCTGGCTCACCCTGAGGCCTGGCTGGAAAACCTTCCTGTTTCACCCCTCCAGCTCTGCTCACCTGCCTCAGCCCGCACAGCTGAGACCGTGCCTTGCCCGGGCACGAGCTGAGAGCTTGGAGGTTACAAGGGACTTGTTGGCACTGTGATGTTCCGTTGTCATTGCAAGTGTTGTGCTTTTTTTTTCTCTTCAAGACTGGCGGCGTGAGAGAGAGAAGAGAGATGAGCAGGATGAAGTGTGCAGCGTGAGGAGCGAGGGCAGCGGCGTCAGAGGCTTCTCCAGGGGCAGGGGAAGAGGGAGAGGCAGAGGGAGAGGACGAGGCAGAGGAAACCCGAGAAGTATGCACAGATGCTTAGCAAAAATGTTACAACTAGGTTAATCGTGTCCTTGTTTTCTTTTTCTAATGTAATTCTTTGTTGTTCTCCTTTGTTTTGAAGTGAACTTTGACTATTCAGTCGGCTATCAGGAGCTGTATGGTGAAGCAATTGACCAAGTCTTTCAGCCTGAGCTGAACACTGGTGTGATGTATTACTATGGTGATGGAACAGGAGTGCAGATGTATTCCGTGGATGAAGCACTTCTCAAAGAATATATAAAACACCAAATGTGAGTAGATTGTTTAATGTATAAATATTTTTAGAGCTCTAGTTCAGCTGAAATAACTCATTTCAAGCAGTGTTGAGTCCTTATTGTCCATATAAAGATGGAGATTAGGGCGTTTCAATTGAACTTTTTAGAGTTAGCTTTGACCATTACCAGTGTCAGCTTGAATTTATTTGCTGTTGGGGTGGAAAAACTTGAGCAATGGGGAGGAATTTTAAGGAAGCTGTTCTGCATCTTGTGCTGTAGTCTGGCTCTAACTCGTATACCTGCTTTATTTATGGTACACAGCCCTCTTTATGTTGTCATGTAATTGAGATATGAATGTCTCTGAGCTTGTGCTTTTGAGTACTGTTGGTCTGTTTGCCTATCAAGCTCTTCTTGGGTGACGTTTCCCTTATTTGCTCTCAATTTCACTTTGAGAAGTCTTGTTGGTTGTATTGTTTTCAGTGTGTTTCACCTGAAACATTTAAGGGAAAG